CGATAGGCATTTGATGAACAGCCTTATAATGAACCAGCTACCAAGATAACTAAGAGCTTTGCCCACGGATTTTGAGCCCAAGGCATACAAAGCTTGGCCAAAAGGTCCAAAACAAACTCCCCTCTAATCAATACCTACAACACACAGAACTTACTGGTCATGAGCCATATCACAAAAATTATCACATAATAGATGGCTTGCAAGCAGAACACTTTGCTAGTCTATTAATATCACTATCAGGATCTATTCACATCTTCAGTAAATGGATATCCCAACTTCTCTTCCAAAGTTGAAGAAAAGCAACTCAAGCATTCACAGGAGCTGAGCTTTCCTAGCTTCTCCACCCTTGCCAGGGTCCCTAGGACCTACATTAGTACTAGATTTCAGGATTTGCTCATTTGGTGCAAGTTTCCACAAGGAATTACTTAGCAAACTAAAGTAAGGACTAAATCACACTCCCAAATTTTAATCTGAAAACCAAAATTTATTGCAGAACGGTAAACTGCCAGCCAGCAGTGGGCAAATACTCAGCTCAGTGGAGGTCCTCTCCATCTCAGCTGCCTTGACAAATGACAGACAGTGGTGTTCCTGAGGCACAGATTCTTCAGGAGCCACAAAATCCAATACTGTGGGAGAAGAAATAAGTCAGGGTTCTCTTTGCCTACTTTCAAAGTAAAGCTTCTCATCACCCACTCACTGGCCCATTGGTACTAGGCACACACATGAATGGCGCCCCCAAGGTACAAGGCTGTCCCCCAGCTCCTGCTCCCACACGCTGACAGGCCATGCAGCACTGGGCCTCGCACACCATGACGGGCACAACGAGTGACCAGCACGTGGTCCTGGCAGAGAAGGCCCACTGAGGCCACCTGTGTCCGGAAACAGGTGCCACAACAGCAGCTTCAGAACATGAGGTGGGACAGGAATAACTTCCCATGCAACAGCACCAACTGCATCCTCCTCTGGATCACTCTGCAGAACCCTTGGTGTGACAGTCTGCACACACAGCCTCCTCTCCCCAGCCCACATACCCTCCAGAGGTAGCTGCCAACGTACAACATGCTTTGAAATGTATTTGCCAATTTGTTTGATAAACAGGTTTAACTTCTGTTGCCAACTCTAAATGCCACCCATTCCACTGCTCCCCATCCATAAAGAGCAGGAATCAGCACACTATGGGATGAGAAGACTTCTTTGCACACTAAAAGGGACAGATAAAATACAAGACAGACAGATTTAGAAAGAAAAAAAAATCATTAAAACTGTGCGCTCTGAATATGGGGTATATATAACAAGCAAGAAAAAACCATACCCTTGCTGGAAGTCCAGGGCATAGAAAATACAAAGACCAACATTTGTCAGCCTGAGTGAGAGGAAAATCAGCCTCTTAAACTGGTCTCACCCTCACTGCTACCCTAACTGCCCTAAAATCAGGAGCTAGATATTAAGACAACACGTCCTGAAGAGACGGACAAGTCGCACTTCAGAGAGGATCCTCTCCTGGGCACCTGTACCAGCAGGTATTTATCTCTCTCAAGTGCAATACTCCTCAGAACTGCAAGTCAATCAAGGGGACATGACAGGTCTCATATGAAGACTGAGCCCAAGTCATTATTCATCTCACATCCTGCTGCAAGGCAGTTGCATGGGGATGTAATAATTGCAAGTACATGACTTAAGCATACATGAATTTATTTTGTGGCTATTAAATGAGACAGTAAAATTAGACATTATGAATGGGAAATAATCATTAGGTACAAAAATTAAGTTTTATTACTGTGAATCTTCACCTTATTGTGAAAAGAAAAAAGGAAAACTTAAAAAGGAGATTTGCCAACTCTGTAAGGGACAGCCTTTGTTCCCTGCACCAAGTTGTCTTACTTCTCATCACAACTTGAGAAATCATTCCAGTAGGAGGTTAAGCTGAAAGTTTTGATCAAAATGTCTCCCTTTAGGCTTTTCTGGAAATCCTCAGCCCTGAATTTAAACACAACTCTACAACACATTCACTTAAACACCTAATATAAATTAACCAAAGCTCACAATCTTTACTGTTACATTTAAAGTGAATAAGGACTATGTAAATCATGAGCCACTAGTGCCCCCATTTGGAAGAACACGAATCTGACAGTCTTGACTTTTAAGAAAGAGAATCATTCCCAACCCCAAAAGTGTTTTTTTTTTTTGTTTTAAGCTTCATTACTATAGCTCTGGCTATACATGTTGTCATATATGGTTTCAACCTGCAGCATACTCTCCCAAAGAGGGATTCCTATGATAGCCTCCAAGACAGAGAAGCTGGCCAGCACACTAAAGCAGCCCAAGTCCACAACACTTGTTTAGGTCATCACTGGCACCCCCCTTATGACAAAGGCAGGGTATTCTATTTACAGTAAAAAGTAACCATTTCACCAAACACAAAACAGCCTGGATTCAGGTGACATGGAAAGAAGAATTAGAACAGAAAGCACAACAGAAATATTTCTGATATGTTCTGTTTTAACTCAGAAAGCCACAGTGACAGGAAGGTGTATGAAAAACCTCCATTAGAACAGAATAAAAACAGCTATGAACAGTTTTTTTTTTTTAATATAGCAGAAAAGGTAGAGAAGATATGGCATTAAGTGACAACCAAAATTAATTTAAAAAATTTTAAATTAAATTTGTAATTTAAAAAACTGTTTCAAAAATACATGGATTGGAATGCAGGGCAAGCCTGGAGCTGAGGGGATGGTAGCAAGCCCTGTCGATCCCCCTTTCCAGAAGGCCTCATAGCCCTTCTGCACAGTAACACCTGCCTGTCGGCTGGCTCAGCAGCAGCACAAGCAGCACCCCGGGGCTCAGAGCACCCCCGAACCCCGGCCACCTCTGCTACACTGCTCTGGCCTTCACGTTCACACAGTCGGAGACCATGGCTATCTCTGGACTGCAAAGCACCACCTGAAGGACAGCTAGATGACAATCCACGCGTGCTCAAGCGGCAGGTTGCCATGGCTGCTCTCTCTGCAAACAACAGTCTCTTCATTAGCCTAAGACTCTCCTCTACTGAACTAAAACAATCCATGAAGAGAGCAGGCCAGTTGTTCATCAAAGCCCTTGCAACAAGTGCATTTTCCCTCTAAAACATCTCTCCAGAAGGAGGATGCAACTCTGCACAAGGATGGATTGACATGGCCTAACGCTACAAGCAGTGCTAACTGCAGGTTCCCACAGGAACACACACGAGACGACTCCTAAGCTGCAGCACTCTGCATCTAGGGTGGGGAGAAATATTTAACTCTTGACAGTTTCCATGTGAACTACTCAACCCACTCACTTGGCAGTACATACAGGCACAACAGCCAAGGGACCCTGCTCTTCAAGGTGCCGCACAGATCACAGGTCAGAGTAACAGCATCAAGTCCTGGGGTGCTGGGCAGAGAATCGGCTGAACAGCTAGAAGGCAAGTGAAAGGTAGGAGTCTGAACCATCATTTCCGGTTTCTTTCTACAGACAAAATTTACATTTTGATTTTGTGCAAATTGTAAAATAGGTACAAATATTAGAGTCAGAAATATGGCCAAATGCTGAAGGCAACAAAAGGAAATCCTAAAAGCATTTTCCAATCGCTTGGATTACGGCTGCAGTTTAGATACATGCCAAGTTTACAACCAATCTCAGTGACGCTGCAGATGTGATGGTGCAACTACAGTGCTAGGTGATTGATTAAATTTGGGTCCAGTTTTGGAAAGTTGCAAATGTTCTGTCATTGGAACTGCATTATCATTCATCCTCTTAAACCTTAGATAAAAAATGAATAGGCAAAAATTGCAATGAAAACAGCAACTATCCTATTTGTAAGTTAATAGCCTGGTAATGAGAACAAAAGAGGTCAACAAGTTCCAGTTGCTCATAAAGAACCCCATGGAGGTTTTTTGCCTCAGGCCATGTCCCTCAGTCTTTTTTGAACTAATGGCATTCCTAAAGTTTGAATTCACTTGACAATTAACCAAAACCCCTGAATTTTACCTTCACAGAGGGTACAGAAGGGATATCATCATTCCCTGATGTGACCTCAACTCAGACGCACATAACATGTTCTGAAGACCTCTGTTTTGTAGGAAGTATCTCAGTGCACAGCACATTCGTTTGGTAGCAAAGGAATGCACTATGAATTCCCTAAAGGCAGAGGTCACAGGTCTTGTACAATGCTGAAATGAATCAGATTTTACAGTCCACGTCAGGACACCACATCAGGAGGCTTGTGGAAAAGCTATTCCATGGTCTCTAATCCTCATATCCAGTTGTCTGCAAGTTTCACAAGCCAAATTTTCACTGTTTATGGGGTATTTCCTTTGGTGCCTTGAGATATATCCCTCAAAATATTTGTCATGCAAGTAATATTTTTAGGTACTATTATAGCCTTTTTTTTCCTCTTGTCAAATGACATGTTTTACCTATTTAGCCTCTTCTCATATGAAAGCTGCTCCTTACTGTAATGCCTTATCTTTTCTAATTACACTTGACCCTCACCAACATGGAGCTTGCAGTGCATTTGTATTCTGTGTGCCAAGTCACAGGTAGTCAACTCATTCATTCAGTGGCCAACCAACATTCTAGGTTTAGCTCTCAACTACTCAGATAACTCCCAATCTTCCATGTGCTGTGACTGCTGCTCAGTTTTGAGTTGACCTTTCTCAAATCAATTAGCACACAAGTCTTTCCAGCATGTTATCAATTGTTACTTCTAAAGCTGGGATCATCATTCACCCCTTCCCCCGTGCTCTTTGTTTATTTATCAATGCACATTCAACTGCTACTTTGTCAAATCAGTCAACATCCTTTCACGCCTTGTCACAACATTTTGCAGTCAGCACCTTTTTTATCATCCTAGATAACTACGAATCAGCAGCAAGTCCACTGGCTCATCATTCATTTCCAGGTCATTAATGATCTTGAATACACAAGCACCACACAGCTCAGCAGAACTCTATTTTTACGTGTCCTGTAATGCACAAAAAGGCAGGTTTTCTTATCTTTTGGCCAGTAATTCCTTACAAAAGGTCAACTCAAACAAGACACTTATAAGATGCAAAGCCTCCAACAAGCAATTCCATCCAAAAAACTTTTGAAAGCTCAAGATCACCATCACCTTGGAAGGAGTCCAGAAAGAGAGCCCAAAACCTTGAAGCAGGGATTTATTTTATATTAAAGCCATACAAACTTGTCCTTCATTTGCAGTGAAGGGCTTACTAGTTCCTATCCTTCCCAGAACCTTTTTAAAGGAAAAAATATATATGTATATACATATATCTACCCATTTCGGTTGCCTCGGCTCTTATGATGACTTAAGCAATAAATTGCACAAAAGATGGAGCAAATAATCAGGTTCCCCAATTCCTTTAATCTCAGAAAGGAATCTTATTTAGTGCTGGTAACCCACCATTCATTTAAATTGACTCAAGAGTCCTTCCTACTTGGCTCGAGTTCTCAAACAAGCTTTCTGAATGAAGAAAAAAGTCTTTGAAGATAAGGAGTGTTCATACAAAAAAAAAAAAAAAAAAAAAAAAAAAAAGTGTTTTTCTGCCATGGTTTTCTTTTGACTTTTATAGCCAAGAACAGTCAGAGGCAGAAGTTTCATCACTGTTTTGACAGGTTTTTCTTCCCAATGCTAGTAGCACGATACACCACCTTTCTTGTGGCCTACCTCAATCTTGGTAGTATTTCCTGGCCCATATTTTTGACTTCCCTCAGGGCCTTTTTTAGACACAACCATTCTTTGAAAAATGCGTGTACTGCTGATAGACTTTTACATAGTCAGCCTTGCTGCTTCTGTTAACTACAGCCATTTTTTAGCCTTCTTAAACACATGCCAATAGTGCAAGATGTAGGTGCTTAAGAGTACCAGGCCCTAACCGTCATGGAGGCCTCTGGTGATCTCCAGCTCATGCTAGACAGGATTCCACCTGGGCTAGGACAACACCACAACTGACGACATCCTCGCTCGGAAAGCCTCGAGGAACAAGGGAAGACAATACTAAGCAAGCACTGACTACTGCTCACCCAAGTTCCTGGCAAATGTACTCACATCCTAAACATTTGCTCGTCTAAACTGTCCTGGTGGGCTGAGTAGGAAATATGGCTTTGGACAATGACTAGCTGACAGCTTTTCAATACTTAAAATTCCACCCCCCCAAAAAAACATGTGCTATATTACCTTTTCAGTAGATATAGACCCACCCCTGATGACTGCAGATACCGGCCTATTCATCATACTCAAAAACTAAGAGTTATTTATGTCACTGACTGTAAAACGTTTCTGCTACTGATAAGTACTGTGTTGGCCTTTCTAATCAAATATAGCTAAACAAAGAGTCAAGATGGGCACATTAGAATTGTCTTGAAAAAAAACATGCAATGCTTGTTGAAACTTGGTTTTAAAAAAAATGCCAAGACCAGCAATGCCAAGACCAGGGCAAGACAAACCACAGTGAATTTATCAAAAAGGTTACTTGAAGTAAGGTTTCAAATCATAAAATTAAAGATGCAATATTAACTTAATACACTTCTCTATATTGTTTTTATGAGTTTGGAACCATTAGAGATGCTCTGATCTTGGCTGATTTGAGAGAGCTGAGGGCTCTCAGCACACGTAGTCAGCAACAGAAGAGCCCCTAGCTTGGCAACACTAGAACATGAAGAACTCCAACTACACATTTCCATGATTTCAGCTTGGAATTAAATAGTGTCCATAAATTCATGTTCAAGGGAAGTCAAGAAAAATAAGCCAACTACCAGGAAGCCAAGAATGGGGCAGCACCTACACAACCACTGGAAATACTTAATCTGAAAAACACCAGGAACTATCATCTTGTACTGGCTCAACTGAAGCATTTAAAACATTTCTCTGACCAAGGCAATGACACTATTTAATTTGTTGAGAGTAGTACCAGGGCTACTTATTATACCACCTAAAATATGGCTAGCATAAAAGCATTATAAGGATAAAGGATCAAAGAAAAGGTAAGCTGGCATGAAAAGCAATTCTCTGCCTGGTCACACAAACTGCCTATTCAGCTAAAATCTTAACAGAAGCAAACAAAAACCTACAGAATACTGGGAAAAGGGAAGCTTCCAGATGCCTTTGACATTGGCAAACAAAACACAGCGCAAACAGAGCACAGAGCAGAGGCCCCCAAGTGACCAAGAGCATCTCAGAGCCCTTTTTGACCTGGCCTACACCAGCCCCAGGACCATCACAAGGACTTCTGAAAGACTTCCCTGACTTGCAGGAACCCAGCCCTTGTCCTGCAGGTTACTGCATGCAGGGCATCTTCTACAAGGTCCAAAGAGCACAGGCAAAGACCAGGAGCTATCAGCTCTGCTCACTGAAGTGAAACACCCGACTAAGATATTTGGTGCAGAAAGTGATATGAAACCCAGACTACTATAAGCATTAAAGCAAAGCGCTAGACTCAGCATTTCCTATAAAAAACATCAAAACCACCACAAAAGATTAGTCATGTTAACATCTCCTTCAATTTCAGACATTACTAGTATTCAGAACCAAGTGCACATTCAATAGTCAAAATTCTTCAAGTGGAAGGCAACTAAAGGAACATAAAGATAGCTGAAGGACTCCCTTCTTTTCTGGAAAGCAGCTTCATGGCATTCAAGCTTCAAGTGACTAACCCAGGCACATCAAGCCAAAAAAAAGAACAAACCAAAAGCCTTTTTCCTGACAAATCCTCTGCTTGCCAGATCTCTGAACATAAATTGGCTCTTCCTCCCTCCACACCACATGAGCTGTCATGGTTCAGCTACATACTTTATGCAAGTCAGCTACGCTAGTTCTCCACTCTGAAAAACTATCCTGGTGTGACCTTTTATTTATTTATTTATTTATTTATTTTATTTTTTTTTTTTCCTCTCATTTGGGAAAGGGACAAGGAAGAGCAGGGGAGAAGGAAGCACAGAAAGGGTATTGACTAAGAACATAAAACAAAGGCTAATTACAACTGATACACACATTATTAGTTCTAATACTTATGAAAAGTGTTAAAATTTCCATCTTGAACCATCTCCAACTGACCTTTCTCTGAGTTGATTTACAGCCAGAACTACAGAGCACACTGCCTCCCTTACTGCCTTCTAGAAGCCTCTTGGCTGAAGGACACATGTAGGAGTCCAAGAAAGCTCCAATTGATCTCACCTGTTACTAAGGTTTCAGGTAAATCACTCCTTAATGCATCCCTGACACAGCTAGTTGATGCCACTTTCTTCTCAAACCAAGCTTGGCCATCTAAATCCTTTCCATTAAAGGTAGTAGGAGCCAAGTGCATAAATACCTTGGAGAACCTGTCTCTCTGAGAGCTTAAATGCAGCCTTTGAAAGCCAAACCCCTAAATGCTCCCATTCCTCTGGCAGCCTTAGAACCATAAGCAGCCTTTTCTCAAAAGCAGGTGGGAAAGATTAAATAGATATCTTATCCTCCCCAGCTGTATTCGTAAGCTCTTGTACTTAAACCTAGCCAAAAAACTTGTCTGAACTAGTGAGCTTTAGAACAGGAAGCTAAAAGCTACATAAATTAACCCTTAACCTGAAATAAAAGCAAATCCAACAGAATTAATTGCAGTCCGTCCTCTGTTGGTTATAAGCTCTTGATTTTGTCTAGGGTGACTCTCACATAAAAGCAACCCCTATGTGTTGAGGTAAATATTCTTAAAGAACATTTTCTCTCTTAAAGCATATATAAGCATGGCAGGGGGCAGGAATTGCACATGTTAGTAACACAATACAAGCAGAGTGATGTAAGAATCCTATGTTAGAGGAGCACTACAACACCAAGGCATTCCCCATGAAAACCTTTATCAAAGAGCAGTGTAGTTCCTCATCTTTTGACAATAAGACACACTGTACAGCAATGCTAAATTCAGGATACAGAAATTTTTCTTAATACTGGCTTTTCTAGACAGAGTGAGGGGGGAAAGCACAGGATTTCATAGAGCATGAGGCAGAACTTACAAGGAGCAACTGATCTGTCACAGTTCCCATACTGGGAGCAGCAGGAGCAGGGTCAGTCCACGGGGGAAGCCAGGCAGGACTGACGGCCACGACACACGCAGGGCTCCCCGCGCAGAGCAGCCCCCAGCACTGCAGCCCTGCAAGCAGAGCACATTCCCCAGCACCAACCAGCCCTGGGGCCCAGGGACTGCCCTGGGAACAAGCCACATCCAGGGGCCATGCGGGACAGCTGGTCAAGTCAGGACCCACAGAGGAGAGGGCTGGGCACAGACCTACCCATGTCATTAGCACGGAGCTCACCTCAGGGTCCTGGGGGATAATTAAAGCCTACCTGGACTCACTGTAGCAATTAGACAGATTCAACAGCAAATAGGTAAGAATGTCACCCCAATGGAACTACCCTATGGATGCCTAGAAATCCCCTGCAGCAGTCTCAGGGCTATCATGCACCTTTGGACACCCAACACCTCGCCACAGACCAACACGCACCCAAGGGGCAGCACAGACAGTAACACCTGCAGGCAGCAACAGCTGGGGCTGGGGTCACTCCACACGTCTGCCAGGGCTAATAGGGCACAGCTGAGCCCAGGAACCCCTCACTGCCCACTGCCAGCCTCCCCCAGCACCTACCCCCACAGCAGAGAGCCTAGAAGAGCAGCAGGATGGGACCTTTTCAAACCCATGAGCAATCTTGGGGCTTCCACAGTGTAATAGCTAAACCCTTCAAGTGTTGAACACAACCTGCAGCATAGCCTTCCATCAGCATCCACTGCTTTTCCTGAGAGTTGCTCCCAGGACCATCATACCAGGAGCACATAAAAGCTATTTCTGTAGCTGCTCCCAACATCTTCAAGCAAGCTTTATGGCCACTACCTTTTTTTTTTTTTTTTTTTTTTTTTTTTTTTTTTTTTCTCCCCCTTCTTTTACAACAGTTTGCATTTTTTTAAAAAAAAATCTATGTAAAACAAGCAGCATATAAATTATCATTTGCCTCAGGTAAAT